CATTAATCAATAGTTGGAGGCTTCATAACCACTACCTTCTACAATGGGGCGCGGTGAGAGTCTGCCCCCCCAGAGACATAGAGCATTGTTAATCAATATAGCTCATTCTGCCCTGAGTGTAAACGGAAGGAACCCCATGGGGCAAAGGCAGACAAGTGTATATGGAAGGAAGATGGACTTCGTGCTCCCACACAGAGTTACAGTCACGGAAACTCTTAGGGCCAGTCTACTGTCCTGCAAGCTCTTGTTACTGATCATCAACCATGGCAGCAAGATTTTTTGGTACTTTATTCTGGATTATGGGTTATAGTACATACGTTTTCAATTGCCAGAAGGGTGTGAGTACGGTTTCTGATTTCCTGGTAAAGGGCATGATATGGAACTAGTAAGTGTGGGAGCCCATGATTAAGATCCATGAAGGAACAAGGGGGAAGTTTTAATCTGACCTACAGGCTACGGTGAGGGGGGAGGGACACAGGGGCACTGATTTTGGTTTTATTTTTAAGGATAGCATGTGGCTTCCGTGAATGGATCTGCTACGATGGGATCCCGTCTGCAGACTTTCCACAGTAAAGGGATTCAGGGTGGGATGGTAATCCCTAATCCTTTCTCAATCTATCAGATTGAGGTCAGGGGAGCTTCTTGGGTGCGCATCCTGATCCCTTCTTCTCCCGAGGGATTTTAGGGAAGTGAGCAGGGAGATGCAGGGTCTGACTGCAGCAAGACCGGGAGACCTGGGGGTCAGGTGCTCCCCAAGACAGGTGTGTCTGGGATGTGAAACCATTCATCCCTTAACCACCCTGAGGAAAGAAATATGCAGGGAGGTTCTCTGGTGTGTGGCTGATGAACTTTCATCTCTCAGGGGATATTAGGACAGAGAAAGTTGAAGAGATTTGTGGCAGTGTGGATGCCAAGACACATGGAGATCGGCTAGGATGATGGGGGGGGCTGGAGGAGGGGTCTCCCCAAGGGTACAAAGTGTCAAGAACCTTCCCCCACCTTTCAAGAGAGAAACCCACCGGCTACAGCCCTGCCCGACATTTCTGTTTCCTACCACTTGCCATTGGAGACAATAAACGTCTGTCTCCATCGCTGTGCATTCATAGGATTTATTTATTTACGTAGCAAGATGACAAAACTCAAGAATGCCCACTTTGTTGTTGGCGTTACACGCACACCAAGGTCCCCAGGACCAGGCATGTGCGGGGCCTAGACCGTATGGATGCCAGGACACAGGGAGATCTCCCAATGCAGCTGCCCGTGGTAGCGGGTCTTCAAAGATGGAGCACCTGGTCCAGGTGGCCACACAGGAAGGCAAATGAGCTCAGGGGGTATGCTGATGGAGGCGCTGAGAGGCGAAGGGACCAGGAGCTCCTGTACCTCAGGCTTCCTCCGGAACAGGCAGGAATTCCCGATGATTACAGAGCGGCAGGAACTAAGCACAA